ACTTTAGACCTCATTTGTTCTTCTTTTTCCAATTTTGATAATTGTGACTATTCATTTGGGAGTGTTCCTTCCTTCTTTAAATAGGCCTGTATTCCTATATACTTTCCTCTTAGAATTGTCTTCTTTGCATCCCACAGAAGTTGGGGCTTTGTGCTGTTGTTGTCATTTGTCTCCATATATTACTTGATCTGTTTTAATTTTGTCATTGATCCATTGATTATTTAGGAGCATGTTGTTAAGCCTTCACGTGTTTGTGAGGTTTTTGGTTTCTTTGTTTAATTTATTTCTAGTTTTATCCCTCTGTGGTCTGAGAAGTTGGTTGGTAGAATTTCAATCTTTTTTAATTTAGTGAGTCTCTTTTTTGTGGCCTAGTATGTGGTCTATTCTCAAAAATGTTCCATGTGCACTTGAGAAGAGTTTGTTTCCTTTTGCTTTTGGGTGCAGAGTTTTGTAGATGTCTGTTAGATCCATCTGTTCTAGTGTGTTGTTCAATGCCTCTGTGTACCTACTTATTTTTTGTCTGGTGGATCTGTCCTTTGGAGTGAGAGGTGTGTTGACGTCTCGTAGAATGAATGCATTCCATTCTATTTCCTCCATTAATTCTGTTAGTGTTTGTTTAACATATGTCGGTGCTCCTGTATTAGGTGCATATATATTTTTAATGGTTATATCCTCTTGTTGGACTGCTCTCTTTATCATTATGTAATGTCCTTTATCTCTTGTTACTTTCTTTGTTTTTGAAATCTATTTTGTCTGATAAAAATATGCAACACGTTCTTTTTTCTCCATATTGTTTTCATGAAACATCTTTTTCCATCACTTCACTTTTAGTCTGTGTATGTCTTTGGGTTTGAGGTGAGTCTCTTCTAAGCAGCATGTAGATGGGTCTTGCTTTTTTATTCATTCTCTTATTCTGTGTAGCTTAATTTTCACATTCAGTCCATTTCCATTTTTGGTGTTTACTGATAGATATGTACTTATTGCTATTGTAGTGTTCGGATTTTTGGTTACCAAAATTTCAAGGGTAGCTTCTTTACTATCTGTGTAACTTCACCCTCATTAACCTATTATAAACACGGTCTGATGATTCTTTATTTCTTTTCCTTCCTATTCTTCCTCCTCCATTCTTTATATGTTAGGTGTTTTATTCTGTAGTCTTTTGTGTTTCCTTTGACTGCTTTTGTGGATAGTTGATTTTATTTTTTGCCTTTTGTTAGTATTTGGTTGGTCTGCTTTCTTTGCTGTGATTTTATTTTCTCTGGTGACATCTATTTAGCCTTAGAAGTGCTTCCATCTAGAGCAGTCCTTTTAAAATATCCTGTAGAGGTGATTTGTGGGAGGCAAATTCGCTGAACTTTTGCTTGTCTGAAAATTGTTTAATCCCTCCTTCAAATTTGAATGATAATCGTGCTGGATACAGTACTCTTGGTTCAAGGCCCTTTTGTTTCATTGCAGTAAGTATATCATGTCATTCTCTTCTGGCCTGTAAAGTTTCTGTTGAGAAGTCTGATGATAGCCTGATGGGTTTTCCTTCATAGGTGATCTTTTTTCTCACTCTGTCTGCTTTTAATACTCTGTCCTTGTCTTTGATCTTTGCCATTTTAATTATTATATGTCTTGGTGTTGTCCTCCTTTGGCCCCTTGTGTTGGCAGATCTGTGGGCTTCCATGGTCTGAAGACTGTTTCCATGAGGTACCTGGCGGAAGGGTGTTCCCGGTAGACAGCCATGCATGGCCTAAGACAGTCACTCTCGTTCTGTGGGGACCCAAGCTACTGTGTGACAGTAGACAACTCATTGGCAGTTAGCTTACCCGACTGTATAGACACGTGTCCCTTGACTCTCAGATTTTTATGAGTGGGGCAGTTCAGAGAGGGGAGCAGAAGTAACAGAACTTCTTCCTGACCTCTGGCATGTAGGCTTGTTTTCTTGGAGAAAAATCATGTGACTGGCCCTTGCGAGATAGTTCATGACCATTACTTTCCTGAAAGCTATTCTCCACCTGCAAAGTCACTGACACCTTGCTACTGTACTTAGAAGGAAGCCTACAACCAACCCTGTTGCCTAGCTCACCTCCTGTCACGTTCCTCCCTTCACAGAATTCTGCTTGTCACACTGAACCCTGCTTTCTCTGAGCCTTTGCAAAGCCTGTTCCTTCTGTTAGGAACACTCTTCCTCCCTTCTCCCTGCTATGATCCCTCCAACTCAGTTTAAATGTCAGTCCTCCTGGGAATCTTCCCAGACTAGCCAAGGCACTTCTGCAGATGCTATCTTGGCATACTGTTCTTCTAGGAACATAGCACTCATCACACTGTATTGTAGCTTTAAAAGACTATCAATTAATTCATACAGTGAAGTATAAAAAATAATATACAGGTATCCATATACCTATCACCTTGTGAAGCAATAGAACATTGCCATCTGAAGCAAAACAGCTCTCTTAACATTGTTTCTGCTCTACTCCCGACTGTTACTTGAACTGAATGTTTATCCTTCTGTGTCTTTATACTCTTATTATATATGCATATATCCCTAAACAACATAAAGTATTGTTTTTCTTGACTTTACACTTAGTATCTAAGTCATTGCTAAGGTATTTTTACAACTTGTCTTTACCTCTCAGCCTTATTTTTGAGATTCATCCATGCCAACAGATGCAACTCTAGATCATTTCTAGTGCTGCATGTATTACACCACAATTTACCCATTTTCTCTACTGATAGATATGTGAACTGTTTGCAGGTTTTTGCAATTTCAAACCACTCCACTACAAACATTCTTTTATATATATATGTATAGGTAGCCTATTTTTTTAAAATGAAAGTGTCCTTGATATACCATCTTGGTTTCAATATATATACAACTATATATTGGTTTCAACATACAACACAGTGGTTCAACAGTTACTGATGTTATAAAATCCTCACCTCTCCCTAGTGCGGTTAACTAGCTATTAACACAGGAAGATGTTACAGAATGTTCTCCATGTGGACTGCCATTCCCGTGACCAGCTTACACTATTACACTAAGAGAATTTTTGTGCCCCTTTATCCCCCTCAACTTCCTCCCATGTGCTAGGAGCATTATTAAAAAATTTTTTTTTACTAAGGTATCATTGATATACACTCGTATGAAGGTTTCACATGAAAAACAATGTGGTTACTGAAAGGAAAGGAGCGACACATAGCAGCAATTCACCGGAGAGTTCTGCTTTATTAGGGAAAGGTGCTGGGTTATATAGGAAGGGGCATGAATTGATTGAGGTGTCACTTCTGCGGGGCTGGTGGCTGTTAGCTAGGTGCTGGGATTGGGAGGGGGGCGAGAGGTGATTGGGCTTCAGGTGGCGCCGGCGGGAACTGAGGACCCCAAAGAGAAGCCGGAAGTTTGCCATCTTACTGGTGGGGACCCTTCAGTTACTACATTCACCCATGTTATCAAGTCTCCACCACACCCCATTGCAGTCACTGCTCTTCAGTGTAGTAAGATGCCAGAGTCACTACTTGCAGGAGCATTTTTATACTGGTCCCATGAGAACGGTGAGAGCTTCCCAGGCTGGAGCTAGGAGTGTCGCTGCGCATCATCCTTCTCAGAGCCTGGTATCTGAGCGTTATCAGCGTTGCCTGAGAGGTGGTACTGAGGTGGGGCAGAGACGGGGGACAAGCCTCATCAACTTTTCCTGCCGATGATGAAAAATGCTGAGATACAAACAGTATAGTAAGAACAGGAGGGACTCCATCTCAAGGCTAAAGTTCCATTTAAAAAAAAGCAGACAGCTGAGAAGTAAGATTCCTAACATATTCTCTGGTAATCAGACAACAATCCAACAGCCTATCTTAAGGCAGGGCAGGCAGTCTTAACTGATATGTCCCCACTGCTTGAGTAACCACTATCTTGGTGAAGAACAGGATAGGTAAATTCCTTGTGTTGAGTTTATTCCGCAGAATTAGTTGGAAGACTAATAATAGGAGAGGAGACATGGTGTCTCACCACACATAAGCATTCTGGGACCACTTAAAAAGTCTGCACCCCTAACCCTTTATCACATTCCTAAAAATCCTAAACCGCCTATAAATCCGCTAGAGAACGCACCCCGGGTTCTCTTGTCCCCTCCCAGAGTGAGCCAGGGACTCTGTCCTCTCACTTTATCTCTGAATAAAAGCCCCTCCCTTGCTTTCCTACCTTGAGTGTTTGCCAAGTTCATTTGACTCTGCAAACAAGAGCTCCCATGTCAGCGCGTGGCGGCCTTTAGGTCGCACCTCTCCTCCGGATAGTAACGCCTTTGGGCCGGGACTCTGCGTGTCTTGCTCACCAGCGCACCTCCGGAATGTGCGCGGAGGACGAGGATACCCGTGTGTGCGGTGCCCGGCCTGACGCCGGAGCCCAGCGGAGCGCTGCTCAGGGAGCCGGCAGAACCCGGCGGGCGCGTCTCCCAGGCGTCTGTCCCCAGGGCAGAAGGCGCTGCGCACCCGGATCCTGGCCGCGCGCCCGACGAGATCCGCGGGAGCGCGCGGCCCTTTCCCCGCCCCGCGCCGCCCGGGCGGTGACGGCAGCCCGCGGGGGGTGATGACGGGAGCGCGGCCTGGCGCCGCCACGAAGCGCTGGGCCCGGGAGCGTGGCGGCGGCGGGCGGCATGAGCGGGCCGCGGGTTGCGGGCCGGGCGCTGGGCGCGCTGCTGCTGGTGGCGTCGGTGCTGAGCGCCGCGCTGCTGGCCCCCGGAGGCTCCCCGGAGCGCGACGCTAGGGCCGCCCCGCCCCGAGGTGGGTCTTGCGCCGCCGCCGCCCGGAGGCTCGCCGGGTCCGGGCGCGCGCTCGCGGACAATCCGGAGCGGGCGCCGTGGGCATCCGGCGTCCCCTGGCCGATCGGACCCCCGCGAGAGGCCGCCGGCTCCCGGGAAGCACGCGGGGCTGCCCCGGCCGTGAGCGCCGAGTCTGCGGGCGACTTCCGGCCGGACGGTCCCGGCCGGGGACCCGCGCCTCCCCACGGGCCGGGCTCAGGGAGGGACGGACAGGCCTCGGGAGGGCGTGCTGGACGCCCGGCCGCGCCTGGAGGGCGGCGACAGGGTCCTTTGCACGGTGCAACCCGCGCCTGAGGGGGACCGAGCCTTGGTGGGCCCGGCGGGGCGGGAAGGCCGGGGAAGCACCCGCGGGCGGGCCCGGAGCTCTGCCGCGCGGGCAGCCCGCTTCCCGGGAACGGCCCACGGAGGGAGGGCTCCGCTGCCGGCGGCGCCGGTGGTCGGACCCTCTCCCAGCCGCCCGCCCGCCCGCGGGCCGGGCTCGCGCCAAGGGGCCGGGAGGGGTCGCCCCCGCGGGCTCGCGACCGGGCGGGGTCCCGCTGCCGGCGAATCCACTGTGCGGCCCGCGAGGACAGGCACGCGGCTTCCCGAGTGTGTCCCGAACTTGGCTGGTCTCCGAACTCACCAGAGAAGCTGGGGAGAAATGTAAATACCCGGGCCTCTCTTGGACCCCAGGACGCGCCTCCCAGGCCCCGAGATCCTCCCCGGGGATGGTCTGGTCGGGGACCGTGGGGTCAGTCACGCGGCAGAGCCTGGCCGGTCAGCGTATGGCGAAGGTCTGTCGCCGGAGCTGATAGTCACCTTCTTCTCTCCCCCCTTCTCGCTTCCGTTTTCCTGTATCCATTACGGGCATTTGGGTGCAGGAGTGTGTAGTACAAACGGCCGCCCCTCCCCAATCGGAATCTTGTAGGGCAAAGGCGAAGTGCATTTGGAAAAAGTATCCTAGCTGCTCGGTTGGTGTGCCTTTCCCACCCCCACCAAAACTCCCGCCACTCCCTCCTTTTATTATAATGGAGGCAACAGACCCCAAGAGGTTACATAACCTGCCCGCTCACAATTGGCCAGGGATCCATCCCGTACAGCGCTTTGTCTTTGCACGTCAGCCCCAATTAATCACGATTATCATTTTAGGAAAAAGGTGGTTTGTAATAGTACTTTTGTGCAGTGAGGGAGAACATACTGGTGTACTTAAGCGACGCACCCCAGAACCTTCACGAAGCTGGGCTGAGAGGGCAGCCAGGCTTTATTTCAGTGCCACCCGGATCCCAGCTTTTCCCCGACAGCCTCCTACGAAAAACTTCATCTTCCTATGATTTGAGGACCCAAGTTTACCGAAAAAGAAAAAAAACCGCATGGAATATGTCTTTTAAAATATTCCCAGCAAATATATTCATGCGCAGAAAGCTAGAACCAGAAATTAAATATTTGGAAATGAAATAAAAGTCTAATATACAAACAGCACGGTCAACTAACTCAGCCACTATTGAAAGGTGACTTCGGTTGTTTTCCTCCTCAAGGATTGCAGACAGGAAGCGGAGGAAGGAATTGCCGGTTCTTATGTAACGCCCCTTGATGTTGCCCTGCTCCTTCTAAGGTCAGCTGTATTGGAAGCTGGCAACTTTTTCTTGAAACTGAGCTTCGATTCATTTTAGATGTCATATTGGATGGTTTCGGAATTTCGTCCTTCCTAAATGGGTGTGTGATACCGACTCAGTGTTTCTTTGAACGTCCAAATAATGCAAAACAGTGCAATGGTGTCAAAATCTCCTGTTCCTTACAGTTTCTTCAAGGGTGGCTGCACATTGAAATCACTTGGGGAGGTTTTTGTATTGTTTTGAGAGGAAATCTTAAAAATGAAACTGGGTGGGCAGAGTCCTGATTTAATTGGTCTGGGGTGGAGCCAGGGCATTGGTGGTTTTTGCTTTTGCTTTTGCTTTTTTAGCTTCCAGGCAATTCTAATTTAGCTAGGACTGAGCCCTTCACACTCCCCCATATAAAAGAATTAGTATTGATGAATATTAAGAGCTTTTAAAGTCTGAAATTCACATAGAAAAATGTAAGCATACATTTTTAACTTACTCCACCCACCACTTTAGTTCTTCTGTAAAAGGAGCAGAAAGTGGATAAGCCTGTGTTCAGTGATTAGTGTTTGGGTGCATTATCTTATTTGGAAATGATCTGAATACTCAATACATTTAACTTAACTCATCACTTAGCTTCTTAGCCAAACTTTACGGTTTTTAGGTTTCCAAAGAGAATTGGGGGAAAATATTTTTAAAGTTCACCTAAAAACTTGTTATCCTATGTACATTGATTCAGTACACTCATTCTTATCAATTATGGTTAGATTATCCACAAAAAAAGTCATGAGACATTAGACAAAGCCAGCTGTTGTTCCAAACTATTTTCTGTTGGGAAGGCAATATGTATCAAAAGCGATTTAAAAAGCTGTAAAATTTTTCATTCAGCTGTGGAGTATAAGAACAAAGAAAAACTGAAGGAGCAAAACAGCAGAAGACTCACAGAACCCAAGAATGGACTAACAGTTACCAGAGGGAAAGGGACTGGGGAGGAGGGGTCGGAAGTGAGGGATAAGAGGGGGTGGGAAGAAAGAGGGCATTACGATTAGCATTTATAATGTGGGGGGGGCACAGGGAGGGCTGTACAACACAGAAGACAAGTAGTGATTCTACAACATCTTACTACGCTGATGGACAGTGACTGTAATGGTCTTTGTGGGGGCAACTTGGTGATGGGGGGAGTCTAGTAAGCATAATGTTCCTCATGTAATTGTAGATTAATGATACCAATAAAAAGCCACTAAAAAACAAAGTTGTAAAATTTTACTCCTACAAGTTCATTCTTAAGAAACCAGTCACAAGAAAAACGTGAATTTTCAGATGTTTATAGCATCATTTCTTAAAATAGGAGGAAATAGGTAATGAGAAGAAATTGAAAATAAATCTAATGAATTATATAAATTTGAATAACTGAATAAACATTGATTCATATTTAAGTAGTATTCAATACATTGAATAAATTTGTGTAAGTATTACAAATGAATTAATTTAATGCAAAAGAAGAAAGCATTTATAAACATTTAGCCGTATTTTCCTAACCCTAAAGGAACTGTGCTGGTTGGCTGTTGCCTGGCCGTTTCATCATGTGTCGAACACTTGCTTTGCTTTAGGTTCTGTGCCAAGCACTTTACATATTTTATCGTTTATAGCCTTCCCCGCTATCCTATGAAGAATAATCTGTTACGGCTTCTGATATTGTGATTTATATGAAGAGATTTGGTCTTCATATAAGATCAGGGCTGGTTGCCTGGAGAAGCAGCCATGTGACCATAGTCTTGGGGGATAGCCCCTACGCTGTCTGCTCCCTCTCAGGGTAGATAGATCATGTCAGAGTTGAGTTGGATTGTAGGACTCCCAGCCTGTGTTGGAGAATTGCTTGGAGGTGTGGGACTCTACCTCATGTTGGAAATTGGGTGCAGAACCTTAAGCCTCCCAATTTATTGATGAGGAAACTGAGGCAGCGTAGGATTCAAGTTCAAATCGGTCTAACTTTGAGTTCTCACACTTAGGCCACCATGTTATACCCCTGGCCCCAAACACTGCTTCTGCTAGGAGCTTTCTTTCCAGAAGGACACCAAAGAAAAGCAAAAGAGATTGGTAAAGCTTTATTTAGGCCAAGAAAAAAAGCTTCAGTGGATTATTAAGGGTTATGTGCTGTGTATTTTGTCTTCACTGAGAGCTAAATAAGGGTAAATTAAGGTAAATATAAACATGAGAGATTTAGGCTGGCTACAGTGAGGAATTTCCTGAATTAACTAACCATCCAGATGAGTTGAGGGAGCCCTGAAGGAAGCTTCCATATTACACAATAAAGAGGCTAGATTACCCCTTCTTGTTGTGATATTAAATGGTTTTCCCTCTTTGTTTTCCCTAGAAGCTAGAGGGCAAATTAATTTTTCTTTCTTATAATATAATATGAAACATTTTGCCTCAAGTTAGCTAGCAATAGTTCACTTTGTTTTCCTACCAAATTGGCAGATTTCAATGCGCATCGTTTTGATGTCCAAGAGCCTCTAGTAAAGTGGTGAGCTCTAAGCCGTGGGAACCCAAAGCAGTGGGCCTTTGTGCCCTTCAGACTGAGGCTTATTCTCTCCTTACGTGCCTCACATCCACAGTGGAAAGCAGGAGGAGATTCAGAACCCCATGCTCAAGTGCTATGCAGCAGAGCTTCTCTGGCTCACAGGGTGTGCAAATCCCCCAGGCCCTGCTGGCCCGCTTCCCGACATCTAGGCTTCTGCAGGCCTCGGGGCTGCCCGGGCTGCCCTCGGAGCCAAGCAACGTGGTTAAGGAAAGCTTGGGTTTTGAAAACAAGTTGGGTTCAGATCAGTGATGTTAGAGAGAGTCCTTGTGGACACGGGCAATCATTAAGTCATTGTGAGCCTTAATTTCTTCATCTGTAAAATGGAGAGAATACCTAGGTTGCGAGGTTGAGATATTATGAAATAGACGGTGTGTGGAAACTCCTAGACTGGTTTCCTGTCCCTCCGAAACACTTGATGTATATAAGGTCCTTACGTGGTCTGATAACACACTGGATGTGATGGTGTTGGCTGAATCGTTTGTAATAGAGGCACCTATGCAAAAGGGGACCAGTGTGTGCATGAGCATGTACGTGCCCATCTGTGTGTACACAAAGTAAGGGACGAGAGGCCCCAGTGACCCTGGAGTGCAGGCATTTGTTCACACACTTTGTCTCTAACATATCTGTCAGGTGCCCTGTTTTTCTGTTTTTTTTCCAACGTTTTTTTCTAATTGTCATCATACTTAGACAAAACAAGGCATGTAGAGCTGAAGATGGACCAGGCTTTACTGCTAATCCATAATGAACTGGCCGGGACAAACTTGACTGTCTACTGGAATTCCGAGCGCTGTTACCATGTAAGTATTGTGTTCTTGCTCACAATTGTGTTTGCTTTGGGGCCAGTTTGATAGGATCTTTAATTTTGTACCTGAAGCCTTTCATGTGTTAACTTCAGTTTTATAGCTAAGGAATACAACAGGCTGTACAAAGAATCAGAGGAAATAAAATCAGGGGAATGCTTAGCAGTGAGCAACATTAGCTTTTTTTCTTCCTCCTTATCTTTATTTTACTTTATTTATTTTTTATTTTTTTATTGAAGTATCATTGATATACAATCTTTTTTTTTGGTATCATTAATCTACAATTACATGAGGAACATTATGTTTACTAGGCTCCACCCTTCACCAAATTTCCCCCACAAATGCCATTTCAATCACTGTCCATCAGTGTAGTAAGATGCTATAGAATCACTACTTGTCTTCTCTGTGTTGTACAGCTTTTCTTGTGCCCCCTCACCCCCCACATTACACGTGCTAATCGTAATGCCCCCTTTCTTTTTCCCCCACCTTATCCCTCCCTTCCCACCCATCCTCCCCAGTCCCTTTCCCTTTGGTAACTGTTAGTCCATTGCTGTTTTGTTCCTTCAGTTTTTTTTCTTTGTTCTTATACTCCACATATGAGTGAAATCATTTGTTACTTGTCTTTCTCCACCTGGCTTATGTCACTGAGCATAATACCCTCTAGCTCCATCCATGTTGTTGCAAATGGTAGGATTTGTTTTCTTTTTATGGCTGAATAATATTCCATTGTGTGTATCTACCACATCTTCTTTATCCATTCATCTACTGATGGACACTTAGGTTGCTTCCATTTCTTGGCTATTGTAAATAGTGCTGTGATAAACATAGGGATGCATCTGTCTTTTTCAAACTGGGCTATTGTATTCTTATGGTAAATTCCTAGAAATGAAATTCCTGGGTCAAATGGTATTTCTGTTTTGAGTTTTTTGAGGAACCTCCATATTGCTTTCCACAATGGTTGAACTAATTTACATTCCCACCAGCAGTATAGGAGGGTTCCCCTTTCTCCACAACCTTGCCAACATTTGTTGTTGTTTGTCTTTTGGATGGTGGCGATCCTTACAGGTGTGAGGTGATAACTCACTGTGGTTTTGATTTGCATTTCTCTGATGACTAGCGATGTGGAGCATCTTTTCATGTGTCTGTTGGCCATCTGAATTTCTTTGGAGAAGTGTCTGTTCAGCTCGTCTGCCCATTTTTTAATTGGATTGTTTTCTTTTTGTTTGTTGAGGTGCATGAGCTCTTTATATATTTTGGATGTCAAGCCTTTATCGGATCTGTCATTTATGTATCTATTCTCCCATACTGTAGGATGCCTTTTTGTTCTTCTGATGGTGTTGTTTGCTGTACAGAGCTTTTCAGCTGATATAGTCTCACTTGTTCATTTTTACTTTTGTTTCCCTTGCCTGGGAAGATACGTTCATGAAGAAGTTGCTCATGTTTATGTCCAAGAGATTTTTGCCTGTATTTTTTTCTAAGAATTTTATGGTTTCATGACTTACATTCAGGTCTGATCCATTTCGAATTTACTTTTGTGTGTGGGGTTAGACAGTGATCCAGTTTCATTCACTTACATGTAGCTGTCCAGTTTTGCCAACACCAACTGTTGAAGAGGCTGTCATTTCCCCATTGTATGTCCATGGCTCCTTTATTGTGATATACAATCTTATATTAGTTTTAAGTATACAACACAGTGGTTCAACAGTTACCCACATTATTAAATCCTCACCCCCACTAGTGCAGTTACTATCTGTCAACATGGGAAGATGTTACAGAATCATTGGCTATATTCTTCATGTTGTACTACCATCCCCATGAGCAGCTTATATTATGATAGAGAATTTTCGTGCCTGTTCATTCTGCTCACCCCTCCCCACTCACCCCAACCCCTCCCCCATGGTAACCACCAGTCACTCTCAGTGTTTGGGCCTACCTGTCTTTTTAAAACCCAGTTCTTGGTGGTGAGCAAAATTGACATACAAGTCTATCATTTGACTCCACTACCTGGTGCGTAACCCTCTCCTGGAGCAGAGAGGGAAGGAGTGAGACACGGGGTAAGGGCAGCAAGGATAGTGGGGAGGCTCAAGTTGAGATGTGGCTTTTGTTCCAGGGATCTGCCCTTCAATGATAAAGAATGTATTTTGGCTGAAGGTGTTAGTCCTGTTTGCTCGTCACTCCTTCCTTGTTGCTTTTTAAGGACAAGGCTGTTACTCTTCCATGTAAAATAAAATATTCTGATTTTCCAAATTGAAGTTTCCATGTACTATCTTCAGAGGAGGAATTTTAATGTATAAATCTTCCTCAAGTTACTGATTACGTCCTGATAAACCCATTGTAAATTGAAAATATTGTTTAAGTTGAAAATGCCTTTACTACACCTGACCTCCTGAACATCATATCTCAGCTCAGCCGACCTTAAATGTGCTCAGAACACTTGCGTAGCTCGCAGTTGGAAAAATCTCCTAATAGAAAGCCTACTGATAATAAAGTGCTGACTGTCTCATGTAATGGACTGAATACTGTACTGAAAGTGAAAAACGGAACGGCAGTGTTGGGGACAGGATGGCTGTCAGCCTACAGGGTGTTTACCCTTGTCACGTGGCCAGCTGGGCACTACACTCGGTGCCCTGCTGGCATCATGAGAGAGGATCTGACCCCACATCAGTAGCCCAGGAGAAGAGCCAAATTCAAAATTTCTATGTACAGTTTCTAGAATCCGTATTACTTTCATGTCACTGTAAAGTTGAAAAATCGTAAGTTGAACCATTGTTAAGTCAGGGACCATATGGATAGGGACTGTTTATTGTAAATAGCCTTAAAACACAAATAAGCAAAATCCTCAGTGTGGGTAAGAGCTGAAAAGCTGGTGGAGCAACGCATGATACTTCCTCTGTTGGATTTAACCCATGAAAGCTCTGTAAAGTGAGATGAAGGAAATCTATAATGTTAAAAAAAATACAGCTCGTGACAAAGAAGAGATTTGTCAGCCCATAAGAAGGAGCTAAAAGAACCCTGAAAAAAATCAACAATAATTGAATTTAAAAGCCACAAGAATCATAAATAATTCAGAGCATGGGCAAAGTATTCTCTAGAGAGACTTACTGAAGGTTTAAAATCTGTGGAAAAAGAAATCGGGAAGGGGGTATGTTGGAGACTGTGTTGCCAGGGTGGTAGCTGTAGGCCAAGTAAGAGCATCTTTAGAATAGAAAGAAGTAGATGCATTGGTATAGGACAGAGCTGGGCTTAGAAAATCAGCAAACAGAAGCATTAGCTGCATGAATGCAGGTCAGGGAAAAAGTTGCTAACTTATTTAAAAGAGCATGGAGATAATTGTGCTTTAGGAAAATATGTAAAGGAATTGCACAGAGTTTGTACTTGAAACATAATTGTAGAAAATGTCCCGTAATTAGAAAGAAAATCTTAGCCTGGAAATTGGAAAGCTGTTTAAGATCCTTTAAGAGTTAAACAACTAGAGAATAATGCCTAGACATAACCTGTTTACATTTTGAACATTAGCAATAATTTTTAAATCTTCAGGCAAAAAATGTAAGGGGACAAGTATTCAAAAGAATGCAAATTATAATAACTTTGTATTAGTGACCCAGATAATCAAAACCCAGGAATGGTGCACTGAAAGGTGAAGGTGCCCTAGAGTTCAGTCATCCAGCTGAGAATCTCCTTCCTCTTGATCTCTTTCCTTGCAGTAGAGAGACTTAGAGACACACAAACATTGAAAAAATATGTAGACCAGATTTTATAGCTTCAAGATAGCTGAAGACAGTTTTGATGTGTTAGTTTCTTTGAAGAGACCAGGAATTGGAGAAAGTTTACTATTACAGTGTTAACTATGAGTGATTATTATAATGGACTACATGAAAGTAGAATGTAACTACCTGAAAGTAAAAAAGAAAAAGAAAATTGCTTTTTAGAATAGTAAACAATATTCTTTAGGGGATCTGGAGGTTGAGAGAAGAATGGAGAAGCAATAAGGGAGAGAGGAAGACAAATACTGTGCTTTTATTGCTTTGAAGGAATAAATAGTGATTACCTATTACTTTTGATTGTTTATTATTTTCAGACATAAGGGTAAATAATGATATTTAGGGTTTTTTTAATAGACATGTTCTTAATGTGATAAATATAATAGTTAATGTTATATCTTTAAATAGTCAAATATACAATATGGAAAGTACATGAATGAAAAAAGACAATAAAAATGGACGTAATTCAGGGTAAGTCAGTCTAGACTAATTATAATGATACAAATAGATTAACATATAAAAATAAGACCCTCAAATGGTAGTAAAAATATTGTGAATAACGTCAAATTCTTTTGGAAAGAGGAAAGTTATACATACATACATTGGTAAAGAACATTAACAACTAAAATGTAGTAACATTGTACATAGAAATAATAAATTGAAAACAAAAAGACATTTTGCAGTTAAACTTTGGTGAGGTAGATGTTGGAATAAAAGGGACCAGTCAAGCTTTAGCATTTTCAAAAATGATAAAAGAAAGATTAATTCTAAAATATTAGCACATTAATAAAAAGGGTTCAAATTTATATGGGTCCCTACAACACAAAATAATGGTAGAAACTACAGATCAAAATTGTAGTAAGAAATTATATTCACTATTAGTAGTTTATGATTGGAAGCTGATTCAGGTTTAATTTTAAATCTAGTGCACTGAACCAAACCAGGAAGTGGGGAGTGAAGTGGTTAGGATTGTGCATTCTGCAGTCAGAGTACCTAGTTTGAATCCTGCCTCTGTCACTTCCTACCTTTGTGACTTTGGGTATGATACCTGCCTTCTGTGTGGCGTGGCTGCTTCACCTGTAGAGCTGGGAAAATAACGGAACCTACCTGGTAGGTCCTTGTGAGTGTTCAGTGGCTTAATATACACGAACAGAGTAAGACTTCTATGTGAGTGTCAGTATTATTGATAATAAACATAAATGATACTTAATGGCAGGAATTCAGTAGAAAAAAGGT